TGCAGTCTTCCTTGGTGGCCTCCCATCCAAGTACTGGTCTTGCTTAGCTTCCAAGATCTGACAAGAATGGACTTAGACCATACCATTCCACACGCCGTGACTGCAGTTCTTGGGGGGGGGGAGTGAGTTTACTGTTAAAGTTCTTCTGGTTGCCATCGTCACCCGTTAAAGAGCATCTTGGACCCACCACATGGCTGAGGATGAGTTACAGTGGTCTTACTGCCCACTTTTTAATGCTTGTTTTTACTGATGTATTTCTTGCGAGTGTTCCTATATGGGCACACACACACACACACACAAATGCAAAAAATACTGCCCCCCCACCAAAGTACTGCATCCTGACCAGTGTTCCCTCTAAGCTGAATTAGTGTGAGCCAGCTCACAGTTTTTTAGCCTCTGGCTCACACATTTTTGTCTTAGCTCAAGAAGGATGGCTCCAGAGCAAACTAATTTATGCAGTAGCCAGATCGCTTGCTCACAACTTTAATGTCACTAGGTCAAAAAGGAGAATTTTTGCTCACAAGACTCCACAGCTTCGAGGGAGCATTTGACAAAACAGGGGTTGTTGGTAGGCAGAACCATTCTGTGTGTTCCAGGTGAGGTTGTACTCCCGCTTAGGCTAGGCTTGCAGTTTGGAGTGGATTCAGACCCAGCTTTGTTGTGGGAACCTGTTTTTGAAGGCTCTGTGGTTTTTAACCAGGGCAGCAGTTGCCAGTGGTAGAGTCCTCTCCACACTGTATCTGCAGTACCCTTCCCAGGTATGTTTGCCAGGCACTTTCACTGACTGATTTAAGCACCAAGTAAGTGCCGAGCAAAAGCTGTTTTATTTATTTAGGACATTTGTATTCTCTGCCTTTCTTCCGACACAATCAGGATCTAAGTCTTCACTGAGCTGTAATTACGGAGAGCCTTTTGTCTGTATTTCCTATAGATGTTTTCTTCTTTTGAGATTATGTTGATGATTTAATATTGCTGTTTTAAACACTAGTGTAAATAGAAAGGCAGAACTGAATATGAAGAACTAATTCACAATCTTAAATTGGCAGCCTTTTAAGAAACAGCATACAAGCTATTTTACCAACAAATTCTTCCAAAGCAAGAATTTGGAAGTGATGTCACGTTGAGCGGATTATCTTTATTTGACAGTATAATTTTTTTTTAAATATATAAAACTGCCATTCCAGAGCATTTGTTTTAGGAATTGTTCTAATCATTTTGCTTCTCTGATTGCCTAGGAAAAAGCCAGCAGAGAGGAGCAAAAAGCTGTTCTTATACTACGCCTCGTTCTTCATGTCACCCTTTGTGGTCTTCTCTTGGAACGTCATCTTCTACATTGTCTTCCTCCTGCTGTTTGCCTACGTCCTGCTCATGGATTTCCAGAAGGAGCCCACTCTGCTGGAGTTGGTCCTCTATGGGCTGGTCTTCGTCCTGCTATGTGATGAAGTGAGACAAGTAGGGAGTGCTTGGAAATCAAAAAAAGTTTTATTTGCAGGAGGTTATTCCAGTCCCAGGAAGAGGTGGAGACTCCTATGGAGTTCAAATCCATTTTGATTGCATTTCAGTTCCCACTAAAGCAGGGCTGTCAAACATAAGGCCCGGGGGCAGAAGTGGCCCAAGGCTCTTACCTGGCCCGCAAGCAACTGGTATGGATGGAAATGTAAGCTACTCCCCCTTTTATGGTAACCGCCTCGCCCCATATGAGCCCCGTAGAGCACTGAGGTCCACCAACCAGCATCCCTGGCTCCAGTAACGTCCGACTTGCCTTGACCAGGGCTAGGGCTTTCCCAGCCCTGGCACCTGCCTTGTGGAATGAGCTCCCGTGTGAGACCAGGGCCTGTGGGATTTATTGCAATTCCACTGGGGCTGCAAGACGGAGCTCTTCCACCGGGCTTTTGGTTGAGGCAGTGGGCATCCCCTTCCTTGGGTCGGCCCCCATCTGTAGCCTGGGTCTTGAGATCTTAAATCTTAAAGATCTTTAAAAAACCCTTTACATCTTAATACCATCGACCACTGAGGTATCTGGTTTTTATTAGAGTTGTACGGCATATATGAGTTATGTTATTTATTTTGTGTTTTAATGTGGTTTTAATTGTATTGTATTTTATACTGTTGGAACCCACCCTGAGCCTGTTAAGGGGAGGGCGGGATATAAATCCAAATAAATAAATAAATAAATATCCCTTGGAAAAAAACTAATTTTGGGTATGATTAAATACATTTATTTGGGGGGTTTGGGGGTTCCCCAGTAAATCAATGCTTTCACTGGTAGGAATTAATTGCTTTTGTTTGTATTTTGAGTTAAAAAGTAATATTGTTAATTGGGTTTGCCTGTGTCCTTTATAAAGTTTATCTGTGGTACCTGGTATTACATTTTATGGTACACATGGCCCAGCCCAACAAAGTGGCATTTATGTCATATCTGGTCCTCGTAACAAATGAGTTTGATACCTCTGCACTAAAGTGTCTGGAATTATTTCTTTGTCATAGGATGCACACACTCTCTCTCTCTCTCTCGCGCACACACACACACACACACAGAGTGTATGGATCTTCAGTGAAATATGCCATCTTCAGTATCTTCAGTGAAATAATGTTGTCACTTCCCTGATGTCCCAGTATTTGTGAGGGTTGTCACTGGCTTCAAAGAGCCAGTTTCATGTAGACCCAAGGAAGAGACAGACATGCTAATTGGGTAAAGGGCTATAACTTTATTAAGGGAGCAAGATCTGCAACTGGTAAAAGCATTAAACAACATTAAGCGCCAACCTGAAAATGTAAGCAAACTTGTCCTGAATGTAGTCTGGCAACCTGTTTCACAAAGTGGCTAACCAGATACCTCTGGAAGGCCTACAGGCGGGGTGTTGGAGATGTGTTGCTGTCCCTCAGAACTAACATTCAGAGAATTACTGCCTCTGAACATGATGGTTCCATTTAACCATCATAGTTAATAACCATCAAGGGTCCTGTCCTCCATGAATTCACCTCACCATATTTTTTTAGTAGTCATCACCACATCTGGTGGCAGTGAGTTCCACAAGTTAACTTTCCCACTATTTAACTGTTCTTTGAGTACAGGAGAAATTAATTTTATCTGTTCTGCCCATAAACTTCATTGGGTGTGAGAGAGGGAAAAAGGTCTCGCGATTTACTTTCTTCATTCGATGCATTATTTATAAACCTCTGTCATCTCCCCCCTAAATTAAAAAGCACTGGATTCCGTTTCTTGTAGAGAAAGTGTTCCAGCCCCTTGGTCATTTTGGTTGCCCTGTTCTGCAACTCTCCCAAATCTGCTACACGCCGATGTGATGACGTCACATGGAAATGATATCATCATGTTGCGGGCGTCGCATGGCGACGCTCTGGTTTGAGGGCAAAACTCTATGATTTGAGGGCAATTTTACCATAGAGTTTTGCCCTCAAACCAGATTGTTGCTGCGTGATGTCCCCAACATGTTGTTGTAACTTCCATGTGATGTCATTGCATCAGTAATGTCCCTGTTTGGGACGGAGCCCCACCCCACTCCTGGAAGGTTCCCTCCCACCCCCTGCCAGTGCATGGTGAGTATCTGGACACCCTTGAAGATTATCTCCAGGGCCATGTCTTCCATCATCAACTGGAGGAAGACTTCAGGCTTTTCTGAGGTGGGATATAAACAGTGCTTTGTATCCTACCACTCCACTCAACAAAGTTTTGAAGCTTTCCTCCGGCAGAAGTGGCTTTTCCTCCTTAAGTGGGAGAAGACTTCAAACTCTGCTGAGCCACAGTTTATATCCCATCCCATAATAAATGTTTGTGAGGTACTGTATGAACCGGGAGCTTCAGTCTCGTTTCTGTGCATCAGAACTTGCGGAGGCTCCAGGCCTCAAGTTGGCAAGTACAGCTTGTTTAATTAGCAAGACTCAAAACACTCTGCTCTTCAGCGGCTCACCTCTCAGTCTCTTGTTCGGTTCTGAGGGAAGGGGATGGTGCTCCACACTTCAGCTTTTAGAAAGCCTGTCAACATTTATTAAAGACGAGTGGAAGAAAAGTAACAGATCACTGTATGGCTGGAACAGTTCACAGATGTTAAATTAGCACACCTTTACAAGGCCCAAGCTGAAACAAGTTAAGCATCTAAGGGAAAGAACTTAAATAACAAGTAATACTTCCATACAGGTAGCTTCATGGGAAAGCATCTAACCTGATGAGAGAATGAACTTGCAAAAGGGTTATATGAATCATATGAAAACACAATGCAAAGCTGATAAATGAGAATACTTTAAATAAATGAGCTGGGTGGAAATTAAACCGTAGCCGTAGGCTAAGGTAGATATTTGCGTAGTGTTGTCAGATATATGGAACACTGTTGATCTAATAGGCTTGTAGTCTCCTGAAATAAGAAACGTACCATGCAACCTTTTTATGTGGTAAATGTATTTATCAATTTATTGTAATTTATCTAGGAATCTTGAAACTAGGAAATCTTAGGTAGTAGAATAAACTAGGATAAGTTGTTTAGCGTGTTTTATAGAATCGAAAATCCATCTGAAATAAGTAGGATTCTGATACTGATGAGGGAAGCATAAATACAAATATGATTAAGGCCTGCAATCCTATGCACATTTATTTGGGAATAAGGCCCATCCAACACAGTGAGATTTACTTTTGAGAAAACATACATAGGACTGGGTGGTATCAGATCCTCCCCCCCCCGGTTCTTGATTTCCCAACCAGCAAATTTAATTATAAACCGTAAATAAGACCGAGTCTATAACATTGTTTGTTCAATGGGCTATGTATTGTTGAATTTCTACTTTTGTTTGGTGACCTTCTCCTTTTTTGTCATTAGTGGTACATGAATGGTAGTAAGTACTTTTCAGACTCGTGGAATGTTATGGACACACTTGGGATCTTTTACTTCATAGCAGGCATTGTGTTCAGGTAAGTTTCATCTGACCCACAACCATTGTGGTGGAGCTCACAGCAATTTGATGTGATAATGATATGAAAATGATATTGCATGTAGTATAATAGTACTTACTTGGTGTGTTGTAGGGGTGACCTAGTTCTAATATTTCGTTAGGACTGATAAGTTTAATATTGGCAAGGGAAAAATGCTTTCAGAAGAAAACAATAGCTCTTTTAGTGTCTTCAGGATCAGATTTGGTAGCAGAAAGACCCCAGCTTTTATTTTCCCCACTATAATTCTATTTTAGGGAGTGATACCTTTAAAAATAAGCATATTATTACAATACAATCAACATTTAATATTTATACAATTATAATATTAACTAACAACACACAGAGACACGGGCAAAATGTTGTATACCACTCTGTGATTGCTCCTAAATTGATCCCATCAACAGATCTATAGGGTAGTTCTCTTTTAGGACTAAATCACTGTTGAAAGAGCCAAGTTGTTGTTTACTAGCTTCAGAAAAAGCTACCGAGCCACGAACCTGTTGATTAAGTTCAGTTTCTTAGGTTTGTAAGTTTAGAACCTTATTAGAAAGAGAAACTAACTCACAAGACTGGGATTTGAGGACAGTTGGGTGACCTTGGGCCAGTCACAGTTCTCTCAGAGCTGTTGTCTCAAGAGCAGTTTTTTCAGAGCTCTCTCAGCCCCACCTACCTCACAGGGTGTCTGTTGTGGGGAGAAGAAGGGAAGGAGATTGTAAGCTGCTCTGAGACTCCGAGTGAAAGGCAGAGTATAAATCCAGCTCTTCTTCTATTGGGATATGTGGTTAATATAGCAGAGTTTTGCCCAGTCATAGAAGCGTGATACTATGTGCAGTAAATAAATCTCCCAAGAAGTATATTGCAAAAAAGGTAAACTTACATGATTTATTCAAGTAGATCCAAGTTCACATTCAGACTGTGGTCAGAAGAAGAGAAAGAAGACTAATCCGAAGAGTACTTTCCCTATCGCAGATGGCCAGCTCGTTCAGCATCATGTGTGTGGGAGCATGAGGGTATTGTCTCAGGTTGTCCCATGGGCCTTGTTGTTCATCTCTTGGTAGTAGTTTGGTAAATACGTCCGCTTTCATTTTCTCAGTGGGACAGTGGTGTAGCTTGACAACTCCTTCTCCCGGCAGGACTCTTACATACCAGTTCCTAATTCTATTGTGCTTTGTCCGCACATTGTTCTTTTCCGAAAGGGAGAGGGCTATAACAGCTCTGGTTATTCATTAGCCGTTGAACTGGCAAAGGGTCCTTAATGTCAAAATCCTCCAGTAATATTATAAGCCACTCTATTTCTCTGCATGCTTTTGAAGCGGATACAGATTCTGCATCAGTAGATGAATGGGCAACAATTTCTTGTTTACGACTTGCCCAATTTATAGCACCACCCCCATAGAAAAATACATAACCACTAGTGGATCTTAGGTCTGCTCTTTCTCCAGCCCAGGCTGCATCAGCATATCCCAACTGTGTGGGATTCTTCGATGCTGACAGTCTCAGTTTAAAGTGTGCAGTACCCCTTTAAGTACCTCATCACCCTTTTAACTGCAGTCGAATTCTTTGTGGTGGGTGTGCTAACCCCTCTGGATGATATACTTACAGCATTTGCAATGTCTGGTCTTGTTGTCATCGCTAAGTATAGAAGCTTGACTATGGCAGCTCTGTTGTTATTGCTGTCTGTCAGTGCTTCATCGGGTACCTTTTCTTTGTACAAACCTGATTCTATTGGTGTGGGCATTGGATTAACACCTTCCAGGCCCAGGCTTTGCAATAGTTCCAGTATCTTCTGCTTTTGACTAAGTAGATAATTTTTTTTGGCCCCCCGGAGGGGATTTTTTAATTGCATTTTATATATAGACTACAAACTACAATGAAAAAAGGGAGGGGTACTACATTTAGGGAGAAAGTAAAGATAACCACTACTGACTAAAAACCCAAGAGAGGAGATCTTCAAAATAGCTTATATACTATACCATCCCTTTAAACGCTACATTCTATGAACTTAGTCAGTCATGCTTTTATAACTTTTAAATCTTAAGTTTAACTGTTAGGAAAGATTCCCTCAGCATCTCCATGTTAAAATATCTTATTTATCAGAGTTCCATTCAGAGTCTTTCAACCTTCATTTCTTCTTGTCTTGTCTCTTCCACAGTTTGTAAGGACTTTTAGGAGCCGCTGCACCTTTCTTCGACAGAGAGTCCTCTCCAGAGCTCTCCACTGGACTTACTGTCCTTTTCTTCTTTGTCCATCTCCTCTGGCTCACCCCACTGTGCTCTCAAAAAGTCTCGTGCTTTTGCCACAGAGTCAATCTTTTCTTTCTTTTCCTGGAGTTTAAAGGTCACGCCCTATGGGTATAACCACCTATAGCCATTTGCATTGGTTTGAAGAAAAAGGATTAAATCTTTATACTTCTTTCTCCGTGGTCTTATTTCAAATTGAATGTCATTCAAAATCCGAATAGTCTTGTCCTCAATTCTCAAAGGTTTCCCCGCCGTCGTTCTCAGGATACAATCCCTTACGTGCCTCTTCGAGAATCTCACCACAATTTCCCCAGGCAGATTCTTCTTCTTTATGTATATGGAATAGGACCTGTAGACCACATCCATTTCGCTCATAAGATAATCCGCCTTTAAATCTGTCACTGGGGCCAATGCTTCGCTCATCATATGCTTCAGATTCTCTCCTTTGCTCTCTGGGACATCCAGGAAGCGAAGAACCAGATTTGCTTTTTCCATTTGTATTTGTAAATGCTGTTCTTCTGTTGAGTTTTTCTTCTTTTCCAATTTATACACCTTTTTCTTCACCTTTTGTGTGGTGGCATCAACCTCTTTCACTTTCTCTGTTGTTTGGTCCAGGATTTTAAGTGTATTGTTGATTTGTGTCTGCTGGGTAGATATGCATTGATTCATTTTTGACAGCTGCTCTCAAAGATTAGTCATCTGCTCCAGCAGGGGGCGCAGGGACTCTGCCATCGTTTTAGCCAACTCGGTGGTTCCTTCCGGTCTTGGACTCTCAGCTCCTTTCGTTTTTAAAAGCTTCTCCTTCTCCGTCCTCTTCCCCACCATCTTTTTTGATTGTTTACTTTCGCCCAACTTTTAAAAGTCTCTGAATTTGCCCTCCACCGCTCATGCGTGCCTTGGTAAGTCTTTCCAGCGGTTTTTTTAACCGCTTTGCTTCTGCTCCCCCCCCTCGATCTCGCTTAGAGTTTGTGTGCCTGGGAGGGGCCCCTCCCCCGCTTGCTTTGCCCTCTAGTCCGTGGGGTTTTTGGGGAGCTTTCTTTTTAGTTTATCAAATCACTTCCATCTGACTCATGTTCATTATCAGCCATCCGACCTCTTTTACTTTCGTTTTCCACCGCTCGATCTACTGCGCTTGTCCCAGCCAGCTTCACTAATTCCAAACGGACACAGACGGAGGGACCATGGGGATGGAGAAGCACCTCAATTTCCCAGCATCGTGCTGCGGAAGAGGCAACCTCTCAGAAGTCCCTTGGCCAGGAGGCTTTCGCCAGTCTCCTGGGGGGAGTGCGATACATCGCCCCCCTCTCCTTTCCGCCTGCGCGCAGTTTCACCCCTGGGAGGTCCGGGAGGTGTGACTGCTCAGCATGCAGCCATCCACCGGAAGTCAACTAAGCAGATAATTTTCATCTGGTTCCGGTTTAATCTGAATTCCCAAGCAAAAATTAGCATTGCTGAAGTGTTTGACTCCTGCTTCCTTGTTTAGTTGGGATATAATCTCTGCACACTCATTTTGATTTTCATGACAAATAATCAGATTGTCAACATAGGTCAGAATAAATGTCCATCTTCCATCTTGGTGTCTACTGTAAAGGCAGGGGTCAGCTTTGCCTTGTCTGAAACCCTGATAGAGTGGCATCTTGGTCAGCTTATGCAACCACGCTCTTGCAACTTGTTTAAACCGATAAAGCTTTTGAACTTTACACACTAGATGTTTATTCTTTTCATCTACAGACTAGATGTTTGAAGTTTACAGACTAAATGTTTATTCTTTTCATCTGTAAACCCTGGTGGCTGTTTCGTGTATAATTCTTCCTCTATTTTGCTATTTTAAAAGGCAGTCTTAATGTCTAAGTGTTGTTTGTATGTTGCTGGAAGCTGTGATGTTTAGGAACATCCTAGTTGTGGAATATTTGACAACTGGTGCAAAAGTTTGGTCATAATCTGATCCATAAATCTGAGAGAATCCTTTTGCCACTAGTCTGGTTTTGTATCTCTTAACGTCTCTGTTTGCATCCTGTTTAAAAGACCCACTTACTCTGAATGGCATTCTTAACCTTAGGTAGTCCAGTGAGAGTCCATGCCTTGTTCTTATGCAGTGCATCTGTTTCTTCTTGTGCTGCTTTCTTCCACTTGCTTGCTTCTGATTCAGACATGCACTGTAATTCAGTCCATGATGTTGGTTTGTATGGTAGCAACATCCCTGCAAGATAGGTTAGTTTCTCAGCTAGAACTCCCTTGTTGGCCCGCGGTGAGCATCTGAAGTGTAGGGTCTGCCTCTGCAGCAGTTTCTGGCTCCTGTGGCTCACTTTCTGGTTCAGGAACTTCTGCTTTCACCTCCTCTTCTGGTTGAGCATCTGTTTGTGCCTGCGTAGTGACTGCATCTGTTGGCTCCGGGCGATATACCGGCAGCTGGTTATTGTCACCATCTCCCTCTGGATGGTCATCTGTAGCAGCAGTCTGGTTGTTCCTTGGTCACTCATCAAACTGCACCACTCTGCTTGTAGTAATTTGGCTAGTGTAGTCTTGGTCACTCATCAATAATTTGGCTAGTGTAGTAATTTGGCTAGTCTAGAATTCTGTATCCCTTGCCCTCTGGAGAACAGCCTACAAAGATGCGTTCTTTAGCTCTGGGTTCTAGTTTGGATCTCTTTTCTTTTGGTGTATGGGCATAGTCCTTGGATCCAAATACCCTAATGTGTTCTACGCTTGGCTTTCTGTTATGCCGTAACCCATAAGGAGTTTTCTCGATGGCTTTGGTTGGCAATCTTTTACAAGTAAACTGCGGTCATTGCAGCTTCTCCCCAGTGCCTGCAGGGAAGGCCTGAGTCAATTAGCATGCATTATCGCGTGATTCTTGTGCTCAGAAATCCCATTCTGTTCGGGTGTGTGGGGTACAGTAAGTCTGTGCTGGATTCCATGTTCTCTTAGGAATACCTGCACTGATCTAGACATGAACTCACCACCATGGTCAGACTGGATGGCTTGGGGTTTCCTGTGGAGCTTTTTAGAAATCGTGGCAACATATTCTCTCAGCTGCTGCTCAGTTTGCAATTTTCCTTCAGCAAATAACACACAGTATATCTTGAAAAATCATCAATAAAAGATATTAGATAAGTGTTATTCCCGGTTGGTGCTGGTTTGATAGACCCACATAAGTCAGTGTGAATTAGCTCAAGTGGTTGCTTAGAGCATCTCTGACTTTGGGTGTGATCACACTGGTGGCTTGGCATGATATGGGGCCACGTCTATCTGTACCGGTTTAAAATGTTGTGGGGCGTATCATCCAGACAGCACACCCTGCTGTGGGTTACCCATGCAGCCATCCCATGGTCAAGCACCCACATTACTGCAGCACCTCAGCTGTGAAGTGTGCTGCCCAGTAGTTTTTTTTTAATGCAGGTGGGAGCATTTATATATGCACTTAGGTGCACATGCACTCGTGTGCATATAGGCAAAACCTCAAAAAACAAAAACAAAAAAACCAAACCCAGCAGTGGAAATAGATCTGCAGGTTCAGACCACCAGTCTGTTCTGCGTGTGCTCCCCCACGTTCAGGCATCTGGCCACACACAATGAATGTGCGGGGAACCGAAAACACCACTTATGATGTGTAGCCTTTTTAACCTGGCTCCAAGTCATCCTACAACCGGGTGAGTATGCCTGGGGAACGCCTTAACAGATGTGGCTGTGTGACCACGCCCATTTAATCTGGAGGAGAGGGGTGGCTATGTCAGGCCAAACTGCTCATGTGATCACACCCTTAGTGTGGGAATAGAAGGCTGAGTTGCCTTTCCCTTTATACAATTAACACACAATTGATTATCATTGGCATGCTCACTTATATCGACACCTGTTACCAAGTCCTTTGATTGTAGTTTCCCAATGACTTCTGGGTCACAGTGAGCAAATCGCTTGTGCCAAAGCTCCAGGGAGTTCTGGTCAGTGGTTGTCTTGGCTGTACAAGTCTTTGGTTCCTGGCAGTCCAGCTCAAAGACTCTATTTCTGAGAGCACCTGTGGAATATAGCTGACCTTGGTGCAAGACAGTACATACATTATTCTCAAAGTATATGCGAAATAACCCCCCCCCCGCCCGAGAGTGTGGGCATGCTTAGCAAATTTGCCTTTAAATCAGGAATGTATAAAACATCATCTGCTGTAATTCCAGTTCAACCATCTCCAATTTGGCAATTTAGTGTAACTTTTCCTTTTTCCTTGTATATCTCCTTGATCTCTATAAGCTAGTCACACTTTTTCTGCAGCATTTGTGTCCAGTTCATCAAACAAATTAATATCTGATGTCATATGTATGGAAGCACCACTATCAATTAACCAAGGCTTATGATTTGCATTCATTTGTGCTAAATGAGATATACATTAATTAAATTGCTTTCTTTGGGAGAAAAACTTCTTTCTCTGTGTTTAAGTATGAGATTGCTTGCTGGTGCTGGCATTTGTATTTCTATTGAGCAAGCACTCTCTCTGGAAGCAGTGAGGGATATTTATTTTGTCTTTGGGGTTAGATTTTCTGCAGCCAGTTTTGTTTATGGTACTCAGATTCAGAACATCTTCCAACTTAGAATATTTCCCATTAAATGTTGAGATGAATGCAAAATAATTTTCAGGTAGGGAACTTAGAAACAGTCTGATTTTTAAATCTTCATCTAGCACTTTACCAACAGTTGTAATCCTGTTAATTAGATTTAGTAACATTTTTATATGGGTTTCTACATTTCCACTTTCTTGTAACCTAATTGAGAAAAGTTCTGTAAACAAAGAAATCCTGCTAGCCTGGTCTTGTTCTCTGTAGACCTTTCTTAAGGCTTCAATCATCCCTTTTGCAGTTTCCTGTCCTTTTATGTACACCAATTGGGGATTAGCCAGTGTTCTAATAATAAGATTTTGTTCTTTACCATCTGCATTCTTATCTCATTTTCCATCTTATCTCATTTTTAGACCCTGAAGGTCATGGAGCAGTTAATGAAAAATTAGCTTTTTCCTCCTTGAGCTGGTGCTCAATTCTAAAAAGCCACACATTGAAATTATCTCTAGCTGCAATCACACACACTAAATAATGCGCTTTCAATCCACTTTCAGTGCCCTTTCCAACTGGATGTTATTGTGTGAACTGGCAAAACCCAGTTGGCAAGTGCATTGAAAGTGGATTGAAAGTACATTATTTAGTGTGTGAAATCACAGCCTCCGTTAAGTTTCTCTAAGATTGCATATCATTGGCTCCGGTCACACGGCAAAGTTGCCATGGGAGAGGCACGGGAGTCCCGCGGATTTTCCGGGTGCGATCACACCCCAACATCTGGGAAGCGCAGTGTTCCCGTGGCGAACCCATGGCTCCCCACCGAAGGTGCGGATTAAAAAACTAGTACTTACAAGGTACTAGTTTCCAAAAACCGCGGGCCAAGGGCGGGCATCTGATCGCATTTCCGGTGGACTTACATGGCATCCGGCGCCTGTCTCCGCAGGTTGCGCTACAGCGCCCAACAGCGCATGCGCACTAAGAGCGATTGCTAGTGCGATCGCGCATCGCGGCTTCTGTGTCGCACTGCAGGATACCCATCTGGTCGGCATCTCCCCCCTATCCATGGGACCTCGACCGGGACGTGTGCTCGGGCGGCCGCGCGTTAGTTTCCTCCGGGGCAATTAGCCACGCCTCCCCCCCACGATATCCAGCCCATGTGACCAGGGCCATTGTTTAGCAATTCAAAAAGATTGGGCTGGGTTTTTAATGATGGATTTTAATCAATGTCTTTTAATGTTTTGTTTTTACTTTTTCATTTTTTAGGTCACCTTGGACAGGTTCCTAGAAAAGTGGCATATTTTTTTCCGAAACAAACAAATAATTTACATTAATTAGGCAATGGACAACTCCTAAGAATGAGTCCTCAACTGTTGGCGATTTGCCATTTATCTGTGATGTTTTTACATGGTTCTTTGCTAATAAAATCTCTCAGACCTGTTCCCTCAGATCCTGATACAGGTGGCAGAGATATTACTTTAGCTGCTGCTGTTAGGATCAGTTCAGTATGCTTCCCTTGACTAGAGTTACTAAGGAGTGTGAAGGTCACCACTTTTAATTTGCTAAGGTAATCATAGACATGATTTGTGGGATTTCTTGTCCTGCAGAGAGGCACTGTGTGTGGAGGATTGTTAATGGAGACTGATAAACTATGTAAAGGCTTACTTTGAAAACTGTGGGTTAATTCAGATTTTTAAATTTAGTCCTGGAAACTGATTTAAAATTTCTTTCGAAGTTGAGTACATTATTTGAGTGTTAATTTTCTCTAATTTCTGCAGGTTCAACTCTTCAAATGAAAAGTCCTGGTATTCTGGCAGAGTCATCTTTTGCTTGGATTACATTATTTTCACTATGCGGCTCGTTCATATTTTCACAGTAAGCAGGAACCTTGGACCAAAAATAATAATGCTTCAGAGGATGGTAAGACATAAATGCACATATAATTGTCAATATGAGTCACACTGGCATTTGCTAGAAGCCTGTATTAATAGAGGTTTAACATATCCAGGGGCTGTTTTAGCCACAGGGAAGCCACAAAAGTCACCCCTGACCCTGGGTTGGGGATCCCTGTGCTGGCATTCCCCCACCTACTTTCACTGCCAAGCCATGGACCCGCCTCTCTGACAGCCCTGCCCCCCAGCCAGTATGTGAGGAGTGCTGGCAGAGTTTAAATATGCAAAGAAAGTGGAGCATTGACTGTTTAGAGGAAAAATAAGTAGGCTTATTAAAGAAGAACAAACTTGTTATAGAACATAGACAAGAGAGAGTGTTAACTGTCTAACCTAACTGCTAGCTAACTTCCAGGACATTCAATGGGTGACCTCAAAATAGCTGTTTTATTACAAAGGAACTTCAGGAACAGAATGGAAAGGGAAATTGCTGAATTGCAAGTTATTACAACTCTTGGAATAAGGACCTCCCCAGGACTCAACAGGAATATCGGTTTCTTATTTCATTACATATGCTAAACTCATCAAGTCCTTGCATATGAGTTCTTGCCAAGAAGGGCTATACAGCCTCTGTATTTTAGTGTATTTCTTTTTCGGAATGGTATATTGGAATGGTGAATGAAATGCAATGAATATTGGAGTGCATTTCTCTGACATGGCACTGCACCCCACTTCTGGGAAAAGGATGTTGTTAATTAACTCCATGCTTGAGAGGAAACAAATGGTGTGGCTCCAGAGCAAACTAACTTATGCAGTAGCCAAATCGCTCGCTCACAGCTTTAATGCCAGTCGCTCACAAAGTGTAGAATTTTTGCTCACAAGACTCCACAGCTTAGAGGGAGCATTGTTTTTTAACACAAAGATGACTGGTGAAGGGCAGAGAAAGCCATGTGTAAATGTGCAAAGAATTTGCTACCCACTTTTGAATGTTTGACAAAAAGGGGGTTGTGTTTTTTTTAACTTTTGGTGTAATTATTCACAATTTGCAATCAGAACACAGGGGTACTGCAGCATCATTGGCTTTCACTGATCTTGTAAAACCAGGCATGTTCCTG